TGTCCAAGCTTCTTGAGGAAGCTAAGACAAAGGTCCAAGCTTCCTCAAGAAGCTAGACCAAAAAGGTACAAAAGGGGCAAAACAGCCACACTCGTGCACAGGGGCAGGGTTTGTACATTCCAGCTGGCACAACTGGCATGCACCATGCCTGAAAAAGACAAAAAGGTGGCACCGGCCAAAAAAGGAGGCCATCGGCCAAACAGATGGTCGGCCGACCACACTAAGTGCCGACCGGCTAATGGTATATTTCACCAATGGCTGGTAGCAGGAACACACAGCCGATGGCCTCAATCCAAGGCCGGTGGGTGTCAGGGGTAACTAAAAAGCTCTACCCTCAAATGCAAAAACAAACCAATCCTTAGGGTAAAACCAAGCACAGGACAAACAAGTCGAGAGATCCTAAGGCAAGGCGCGTAACCAAGGCCTCCGGGAACTCAAAACAAACACGAACATGGATGATCACCGAGTGTTCAAGCGGTGACGTCCAAGTCTTGAGGACGGTCAAAAATGGGGTGTTTACACTATGTAGTAAGTAAATTAAATAGATATACAAGTAATCTTGGAGTAGAACACTGGAAAACTATTATAAGGGTTCTAAGATATCTCCGATTTACTCGTAACATTGGGCTAAATTATATTAGATATCCAGCAATACTTGAAGGATACTGTGATGCAAATTGGATATCAGATACAAAAGACTCAAAATCTACCAGTAGATGTGTCTTTACTCTTGGTGGTGCAGCTGTATCTTGGAAATCTTCCAAATAGACTTACATTGTTAGGTCTATTATGGAATAAGAGTTTATAGCTTTAGATAAAGCTGGGGAAGAAGCAGCTCGTGCACGGGGGCAGGGTTTGTACATTCCAGCTGGCACAACTGGCATGCACCATGCCTGAAAAAGGCAAAAAGGTGGCACCGGCCAAAAAAGGAGGCCATCGGCCAAACAGATGGTCGGCCGACCACACTAAGTGCCGACCGGCTAATGATATATTTCACCAATGGCCGGTAGCAAGAACACACGGCCGATGGCCTCATTCCAAGGCCGGTGGGTGTCAGGGGTAGCTAACAAGCTCTACCCTCAAATGCAAAAACAAACCAATCCTTGGGGTAAAACCAAGCACAGGACAAACAAGTCGAGAGATCCTAAGGCAAGGCGCGTAACCAAGGCCTCCAGGAACTCAAAACAAACACGAACATGGATGATCACCGAGTGTTCAAGCGGTGACGTCCAAGTCTTGAGGACGGTCAAAAATGGGGTGTTTACACTATGTAGTAAGTAAATTAAATAGATATACAAGTAATCTAGGAGTAGAACACTGGAAAACTATTATAAGGGTTCTAAGATATCTCCGATTTACTCGTAACATTGGGCTAAATTATATTAGATATCCAGCAATACTTGAAGGATACTGTGATGCAAATTGGATATCAGATACAAAAGACTCAAAATCTACCAGTAGATGTGTCTTTACTCTTGGTGGTGCAGCTGTATCTTGGAAATCTTCCAAATAGACTTACATTGTTAGGTCTATTATGGAATAAGAGTTTATAGCTTTAGATAAAGCTGGGGAAGAAGCAGAATGACTTCGTCACTTCCTTGAAGATATTCCAATGTGGACAAAATCGGTGCCTTCTATATGCATACATTGTGATAGTTAATCAACAATAGGTAGAACACAGAGTCATATGTATAACGGTAAGTCACGATACATTCGTCGTCGATATAACACCGTGAGAGAACTACTCTCTAATGGAATTATTTCTATTGAATATGTGAAGTCTAAAGACAATATAGCGGATCCACTAACCAAAGGGTTAACAGGAGAGTTAGTTGAAAATTCGTCGAGGGGAATGAGACTTAAGCCTATTAAATAAGAGTTACCACAACGGCAACCCAACCTAGTTGATTGGAGATCCCAAGATTTAGGTTCAAAGGGACAATCGAGTTGTGTATGATTCATAAAGATCACTGGGGAGTCAAACTCTTACCAATTTCTATGATAAAATAGTGACGTCTGCAACGTTTTAGGTTAAGTAATACTTTCAATAATTCTTATATCTAGAAATACCTAATGAAATACGGTAGGATACTCTTCATAAAAATCACCTATATGAGTGTGGATTTGGACGGTTCTATGAGATTTGTAACAGGCTACAATTCTCTAGAGCACTCATGAAAAATCAGGTTGTGTAGAGCCAAAATAAACACAACAGTGAGAACTAAATTGTGTCTAGAAATATGTTGTATGAGTTCTATTGTCTTAGTTTACACAAATGGTTTATCATTTTAAGACATCATGTTCACTAATTAGCTAGTAAATTCGATAGTGTCTCACAAGAGAAGGCTCAAAGCCAAAAGCTACCTATCATTTGCAGAATATCTTCAATTTTTATACTCTCTGTAAAAACATCATGTTGTTGAATTTTCTCTCCGTCAATTTCATTCATGTGGGGGATTATTGAAAAATTTATAAAGGCAGTGGTGAATTGAAATAGACTCTATTTGACTGAAAGGGTGCAACCTTTCATGGTGTCTCTTTATTTTAAAAGAAGGGCCAACCCTCCATTTGAATGAAAAGGTGCCACCATTTCATGGCGTCTCTTTATTTTAAAAGAAGTGCCATGTCCCTTCTTCATGCTTTTTCTATTCAAACTGAATAGGTGCTAACCAAATCTATATAAAAGTAACCTCATTCCAATTTTATTCATTCTAAAATTCCTCAAATTCTAGCATTCTTTTTATATTCTTCATACTAGTTTATAGAGATTTCAAAGAATTGCAGAACATAGATTTGATTCGCTTGGCAGATTATTTGTAGTGCTGATATGATCTGCGTTTTCTTATCATTGTATTCTAGGAGATAGATGTCAATAACCCATACGCACTTGTGCGGTGGCGAATCTATCTTAAAGACATAATGTCACACACTCGACTTGATCAAAAGTTTCTGTTCTAACTTTTCGGTACAAGAATATTACAATAAGTATTTTATTTTTGTTATTTCAAGTTTCATTTCTCTACACAAAAGATTGTTTCAACGTACTGCCGCTACTATTGTTATTGTTCTCTATCTTCTTATCTAACTTGGGCCTTTTCAATTTGCTGTCGATTCTGGGTGTCTCCAACGAAACTAGATGGTTTTGGGATATAGGTTTAGGTATTTTGGGAGTCTTGATAAGATATTCTTTGAATGCATCGAGTTTTTGTTGAAGCTTAGTTGTTGCTGCTTTGGGCAGTGATTTTTCTATAAACTAAACAAAGATTCATATATCTCTCTGTATAAATAGAGAGAGATGAGAGTATATTTCGAATTTCTTGGTGTGATTAAAAGAGAAACTCAACTCAGATATAGGTCTTCTCTTAGTTTGTGATTTTTGTTTTTGTTAATCCTCGGTATTGTTAGTGGTATCTGCTTTGAGGGTGGCGGTGGTCACAATGGTGGCTGCTTCTCCGCTCTCTCTACAAAAATTAAACAGATAAAATTTTATTTGAAATTTGGTATCTATTTTTCTTTCTTTGTTGTTATTGAACAGATGGAACACATAGATAAAAAGAAACATATTCAATTTTTGGTTTAACAAATAAAATTCAACAAATAGCAAAATTTCAACAGATCATGTGGTAAATTTTGAACAAATAAGGGAACAAATTTGAACAGATATTCAAAAATTTAAACAGATAAAAACTAATTTGAACAAATAGATATAAATTTGAACAGATAGGTAAAAAAAGTCAACAGATACATTAAGGGATAAAATTAAAAATAAAATATCCTTTAAAACCAACAAAAATACTTCTCACCAAACTATGTTATAAAGGTTGACCTTTTATCAACAAAAAAAATATCTATTAGACCTAATGTCTAATACCCTCCTTAGATTGGACTTTTTAACAATTTTCTCTAGTTTGTATATATATATATATATAGATCGAGAAGAAAATTTTCATTTCAAAATTGATAAAAAATCGGATCAATCTCGATTGTGGTAGCAAAAGATCTTATAAAGAGAAAACAAATTTCCATAAGAGGAAGAATTCTAGCCTCCATAGAAGCGGAAAAAAAATCTTCACAAAGAAAGGACACAATCTTCACACAGGAACGGTTATTAAGGTAAATACTAAAAATAAATAAAAAAACAAACCCAACATAACTAAATTCAAGTTGCCAAATGCATCCAAAATTTCATTAAATCGTAACCTTCAATTTGAAATCTGAAGACTCTACCTTCGCTGGTTAAGATGGAATATTGAGGTTGAAGTGGTCGCCTAACTTGAAACGAACATGTTAAACAACATCGGTCTTTAAATTGCGAGAAAATTTGAAATCAGAAATTTTGGGCGCAAGAGTGAAAGTTTAAGCACAAACCAAACATTATATCTGAAAGATTAAAAAGAGAGAGAGGCGACATTAATACCGGTGGATAGAGACAGATCTGGAGGAGATGAAGCAAATGTAATAAGGGTGGATCCATGAGGCAGGAAAGGGACAGATATAATAACATTGTGACGGTGATAATGTGAGAAAGAATTGAAAAGACAAGTTTCTAATATTGTTAAATAAAATAAAATAAAATAAAATATAAAATCTAATATTGTTAAAAAAAAAAAAAAAAAAAGAAGTGAGGAGGTCGACGGCCTAAACCCCTCCTCAACGGCACACTTAACAGAAGGGTTAAAAGAGAGGCCTAGGGTGGCACACTCTTGTTTATATTCCTGTGATTAATTTTGTTTTTAATTTTATAATTAGGCCTCGTTTGAGAACATGCTAATTTAGTAACTTTTTGGCTATTTGACTAAAAAAATAGGTAAAAAAAACTTATATGTTTGGGAATAACTTTTTGACTAATTACGAAAAGATGTGCAAAAAGTAGAGAGAAAAGAGAATATTTGACTTTTTTATATGAGTTGTTACCTTTTTAACTAAAAAAATAACTTTTTGACTTTTTAGCTAAAAAGATAGGTCCCCAAACGGGGCCTTAATATCCAAACAAGCAGTGTGAACGCAGAAAAAGACCTGTGCGTCAAGAAAACTTCCCAAACTCAGCTCGATAAACATATCCTTTGTAGAAAGAGAAGACAGAGTCCAGAGAGAGAGAGAATGCCGCCTGGCAAGAAACCGACGTCGGCGAGGGCAAGTAAATCGAAACAATCAGACATCGAATTGAGTCTCGACGATCAGAACAACACAGTTGTGTTGAAATTGGAAAACAAAGATCAAGAATTGGAAACCCAACAAGAAGCTGAATCATCATCTGAACCGAAGGTTAAAGAAGAAGACGAAGAGGCCGCCGCACAGCAAATCAACAAAGAAATTATCACAAATTCAATGGAGGAGGTTGAGGGAACGGTGGTGGATTCCAAGGAGGAGGCGACGAATGTTGAAGCTGTAATTGCAGATCGCGTGAATGTTGAGAGCGTTGAACAGAGTCGTGTTGTGAAGGAGGAAGGAGAGAGAATGGAGGGTTTGGATAAGAGTGATGATGCGAATATGGAAGATGATGATGATGCAATTGAGGGGAAAACAGTGGATGATGAACAGAAACAGAAGGAGGGCATAGATGGTGTCCCAGGTATTAAATTTAACTTTATAGTTAGCAGTTACTGATTCTTCTGAATTCTGATTTGATGAGCTCTACATTAAAAATTGCCCTTTTTTTTAGCATCTCCAATCTATCACCTTTTCTTTCATCAAATTAACTTTTGATGAGAAAGTGTTTAAAAGAGTCAATTTTTTTTAATCAAATTGAGAACTCATCAAATTTGAATTTGATGAAAAATTAAAAAGATGAAGTATTGGAGATAATTTTTTCCCCCATCAAATTTGATGAAAATGGAAACTTGGGATAAGAGGGGAATTTTTTAAAAAGATTTTGATGAAAATTTGATGAAAGGATTGGAGTAGTTCATATCTAATCAAGCTTTTTACTCAAATTTGGAATCAAATTAGATGAAAAAATTGGTGAGGGGTTGGAGATGGTCTTGCATGATTGATAATGTTGCTTTGAAATCAATGAATGTTGAATCTCCCCCTTTTTCAAAGATTACTGATTTATTAGGTTATTCAAGTTATAGGAAGTTCCAACGATGTTAAAATATCTCTTTAAATGTCTTCGGATACAACCCATAAAGATTTTCCTGTTATTTGTAGATAAACCCTTGTGAGGGTTTCACGCAGTTTTATTTGTTCTGCTTCTGGGATAAATTCTCTCATTTGTGCTTCATAAAAAGACATAGCAGCTATATAACACAATAAAGGTTCTTCTATTTCCCATTATGAAGTGAAGGAAAAAAAGAAAGAATGAAAAAGAACAAAAAGAGAGAGAGAGGATTGAACAACCCATCCTGGCATTTTTTGTGCATTGCATACATCTCTACGATAAGATATTAAGATTGACCTTTACCTTTGGTATTGCAAATTATCATCTATTTGATTTATGCTGAAACTCTCTCTCTCTCTCTCTGTATATATATATATATATATCAATGTCTCTAACTACTAAATACTAATGGATGAAAGCCCAACCATAATTTGTCTGCACCCTCCGGACTTCCCAATTTGCGATTCTCCCTCTCCCCCTGATAAAGAAACACGTCATGAGTGAATAAATCCCAATTAGGTGGTGGCAAGGTTTCGAAAAGCGGTTGTGGTCGCCGTAACGGTTGTGGTGTCGCAGACGCAGTTGCAGGGTATAAAAGCTGTAGTGTAACAATTGCGGTAACCGAAATCGTGAATATTTATTTATTTATTTATTCGCGTAATTTGAAAAAAAACTTACTGATACACATAATTTTTTTTCTTTTCAAAATCATATTTATTGAGGTTTAAAATAGATTTTGATCAATTTTTGTTAGTTTTTAGTATGATCCAATATATTTTATATTTTTGAATCACTATAAAAGGAGTTTTTTATATTTTGTTTCAATAGTTAATGAGTTTATATGTCATAAATCCATATTGCACCTTTTATTTTTATTTATTTTGTTATTAATTGTTATATAATATAGAGCTTATAATTTATACTATTGTGTTATGTTTCAAACTTGTAGATGTTTAAATACAAAAGGCTAAAAAAGATAAGAAGCAAGTAAAATGACAAATACTAATTGTAGCAAAAATTTCTTTTACACTTGTGGTAAAATTTTCTTTTATTGGACTTGGATGTATATAATTATTTATTTAATTATTATACTTGTGGAAGCATATGTACATACGCTTGTGGCGTATGTAATTTTTTTTTAATTATTATACATGTGGAAGCATATGTAAATATACAATATAATGTATATTTTGTAAGCTTTTGTTTTTATTTTTTGGAAAAGAAATTGTTCAAAATATTGTAAAGGTGTGTGATGGGCCATTATGGCCATTACGTAACACCGAAACGGCTGTTACACATGCAAATTTCCGTCACACTGCAAAAGTGGGTGTAACGGGTAGCACCTACCACCACAACCGTTACGTAACACCGCTTTTTGAAACCTTGGGCGGTGGTAAACCTCAGATTGTTGAGTGTGACACTGTGAATTTGAGTGTATGCCAGTTACTTCGTGCAAATAAAGCCAGTGGTCAGTTTCCTAAGTAATCTACCACTTCCAACACCCCATATTGATTGGACTGTACTGCACAGTGACTTTTTTCTATTAATGAATAGAAAGAATCTGTGCTTCTGTGTGGGTGATTGAGACATGTTAGGGCCACACTGTCCATGGGTTTTGTAGTCACAGTCCTTTTTAAATGGGTCATCACTGCTCTTAAATTGTAGTTGATGTTGGACTCCTTTCAAGTTTGAAGTTCTTTGTAACATGCCAATGAAGAAGAATTCTTTTAGCCAAGAGGGAAGGGAAGGATAAAACTATTTTTTGTTATAGTGAATTTGTTGGTAAACAAGGTTTAACAACAAATAATATAGTCATGACAAAATTTAATTATGGCAATTGTGCTACCAACTCACCCTCTGCACTCAGCCATTATTATAATTTTTATACCTAGTTTGGAGGGAGACTAGCAAGTCTTGCACGTTATAGTTTTTTTCCCCCTTGAAAGAACGTTTGTTGGTAAACAAGGTTTAACAACAAATAATATAGTCATGACAAAATTTAATTATGGCAATTGTGCTACCAACTCACCCTCTGCACTCAGCCATTATTATAATTTTTATACCTAGTTTGGAGGGAGACTAGCAAGTCTTGCACGTTATAGTTTTTTTCCCCTTGAAAGAACGTGGTGCTCCCTGCTCCAAGTGTCTAATGTTAGACAAGCACATGACTGTATTTCTCAGGCTAGTTACGTTTCCCGTCTAATCCTATCTGTTTAACTTGCTTTTTTTTTTTTTCTTTTTTTCCACATTTGTGATTGTTTTCTTTATTGATTCTGTTTCTCATTTTTCTATTCTGCATAACTTGTGAATCTGTCTGGAAATCCTTTGTATACGATGTTTAGGGTCATCAGTGTTGACAAAAATTAGTTGTTATAGTTGCAGAACAGCACTCATCTGAAGAAGAAATTGCTGCTGCTCAAATTAATGATGCTGAGGCACTTGAGGACAATAGCAATGTTCTTGTTCTCAATGAGGGTAGAGATGGGGAAGGAGAGGGTGAGGGGGATGGAAAGAATGAGGAAGATAACGAAATTGATGAACACCCTGCTGAATTTATCCATAATCACATTACTGACAGGAAGAAAGAAAAGGATTTGGAAATTTTTATTGGAAGACTGGATAAAGAGGCTGTTGAGGATGATCTGATCAAAGTCTTTGGAAAGTTTGGGGAAATAAGAGAAGCTAAGATAGTAAGGAAATCAACTACAAATAAGAGCAAAGGATTTGCATTTATTCGATATGCAACTGTCGAGCAAGCCAAGAATGCTCTTTCTGCATCGAAGGACGGGATTGAGGTTTTAAATGTTGATTTTTGATATATAAATTTCTCCTAGAAAAGGAAAAAAATAGACGCAAGATATTCCACATGTTAATTTAACATATTAATAACATGATCTTTTCTGCTGGCAAGGTGAGAGGCAAGCATGTTAAAATGTCGGCAAGTGAAGGCAATGATACGCTTTACATGGGAAACATTTGCAAATCGTGGACAAAGGAGCGTGTAAGCTTTAAATTCACATCTGCTTTTTCATGTGCATATCACAATGTCTTTTGATGATTTGGATAGCTGCAAATATGAATTCCATTCTATGTATTGTAGTCATACCTTCTTCAACTTCTTTGTTGTCTTCGTCTATTGACGTTGTTACTGCAAGTGATCCTTCCGTTGATTACTTAAGTAGCACGAACATGGACATCCGACACGACACAGAAGTTAAATTTTGTAACAAGGCAATAAAGTTAAATATGGGGAGATAAAAGAGACAGAAAAGAAATAACACAAAGGTTTAACATGGTTCAATCAATATTGGCGTACATCCACACACACAAAGTCCTGTGGGCTACATCTTGCATTCACTTAACTTCATACTTTTGTTTACATGATACACCATATATATCATGTAGCACGAACATGCTTCTTCAACTTCTTTGTTGTCTTCGTCTATTGAGGTTGTTACTGCAAGTGATCCTTCCGTTGATTACTTAAGTAGCACGAACATGGACATCCGACACGACACAGAAGTTGAATTTTGTAACACAAAGGTTTAACGTGGTTCAACCAATATTGGCGTACATCCACACACACAAAGTCCTGTGGGCTACATCTTGCATTCACTTAACTTCATACTTTTGTTTACATGATACACCATATATATCATGTAGCACGAACATGCTTCTTCAACTTCTTTGTTGTCTTCGTCTATTGAGGTTGTTACTGCAAGTGATCCTTCCGTTGATTACTTAAGTAGCACGAACATGGACATCCGACACGACACAGAAGTTGAATTTTGTAACACAAAGGTTTAACGTGGTTCAACCAATATTGGCGTACATCCACACACACAAAGTCCTGTGGGCTACATCTTGCATTCACTTAACTTCATACTTTTGTTTACATGATACACCATATATATAGAGTAGGAGATACAATCAAATCCCTTTAGTTAAGGAATTGAAATAGATCAAAGATACAAAAAATCATAATAAGCACTAATGTTTTGAAACCTGGAACGTTTAGCAAACCGGAAAAGGGACCGGGTCAATGGTTACTAGTCCAACCGTCGGGTCAACTGGAATCGAACCGTGATGTTATAAATACTTTCTAAAAATATACTGTTCTCGGTTGAACCCAAGGCAAACCAAAAATAGCAACTATTGACATCCAAAGACGTGAAGCAAACGGACAGCAAATTAGCGAATGGTCCACCGTCTCCGCAGCTCCATAACACATATAATACAAATTCACCAAAATATGCCCACGACGAATCAAGTTATCAATCGTCAAAATATGGCCTAACGCTGTTGTCCACACAAAGAAAGTGACTTTGGACGGATAACCCACCACCCAAACACTCTTCCATGGAAATGTCCCCCCAGCCCCACCCTAAGCCCATGGTAAAAGGAAGACACAGAAAATACCCCTTTGGACTTCGGACACTCCCACCTAAGAGTATCCTCGCCCACCCCTCCAAACCTAAGCCCATACAAAAAGCTCAGCAAATCCAACAACTGACCCACCTCCCAATCTTACACTTCCCGACGCAACCTAACTTGCCACACTACCACATGGCCTTGCACTAGAGCATATGAAGCCACTGTCGCCTCCCGATCAATCACAACATGAAAAGTCAACGGGAACATCACCTCCAATGGAAGCTCACCACACCATTTGTCCCTCTAAAACCGAACCCGGGCCCCTACCCCCACCCGAAAGCTTACTCTCGACCAAAACTCCTCTCGTCCCAAGCAAATACCTTTCCACAAACCACGATCATACTACTGGCTAACCTCCTCCGTACTTACAATCCCCCCAACCCCACCCATATTTAGCCCCTATCACTTTCCTCCACAATCGCTCCCTCTCTATCCCAAACCGCCATAACTACTTCCCCAGAAGAGCCAAATTAAAAGAAACCAAACTCCAAATCCCCAACCCCTCCATCGCCTTAGGCAAGCAAATCTGCTCCCAGGCTACTACATGATAATGAAAAGATGCAGACCGTCCACCCTATAAGAAATCCCTCAGTAACTGCGCTAGCCTCTTTGCAACCGACACAAGAATGACGTGAACTAACATGAAATAAGTCGGGATACTGGAGAGGACACTCTTTATCAGAGTGAGTCGCCCTCCTTTTGACAAATATTGCCACTTCTAACCTGCTAGTCGACATTGCATACTATCCACCACCCCATCCCACACACATTTGGCCTTAAAAGAAGCACCCAAAGGTAACCCTAAATACGTTGTGGGCAGAGCCACCATCTTGCACCCCAAAATAGCAGCCAATGTAGAAAGACGACCCACTTCACCAACCGGAATCATCTCAGACTTTCCTAGATTCACCCGGAGCCTTGAAACCACCTCAAAACAGAGAAGTACACACCTCAAATAACCAACCTTACCACCTTCCGCTCCGCAAAAAATAAGAACATTATCCGCATAAAACAAATGAGACACCACTAAACTAGGCTGTGGAGCCATGCCCACCTCGAAACCAGTCAGCAAACCCCTCTGAACGACATTAGATAACAATTGCCCCAAGGCCTCCATAATCAAAATAAACAACAAAGGAGACAAAGGACCCCTGCTGCAAACCTCTATAAGTCAGGAAAAATCCTGCTGGCGTCCCGTTAACTAGAATAGACATCCGAATTGTTGAAATACAAAACTGAATCCACTACTTCCACAACACCCCAAACCTCATCCGCTCCAACATATACAACAGAAACCGCCAATTCACATTATCATACGCCTTTTCAATGTCTAACTTGCAAATAATGCCAGGTTGCCCTTGCCGAATCCGCAAGTCAACACACTCGTTAGCTACCAACATAGCATCCAAAATCTGACGCCCACCCACAAAGGCATTCTGGGATTCTGACACCAACCCCTCCAAGACACCTCGCAGTCTGTTAGCCAGAACTTTCGCGAGAAGCTTGTACACACTTCCCAACAGGCTAATAGGACGAAAATCCTAAATATCCTCTGCCCCGCATTTCTTCAGAATCAAAGCTATGAAAGTAGCATTAAGACTCCGTTCGAATTGCCCTGTCTGATGGAACTAAGCAAACAAAGCTAATACATCTGCCTTCACTACATTCCAACACTGCTAGAAGAAAAGCATAGTAAAACCATCTGGTCCTGGCGCCTTGTCCCTAGGCATTTTTTGCAAAGCCCCTGAAACCTCCTCCTCTGAAAATGGTCTCTCCAGCATGTGCCCATCCACCTCCGAAATAGCAGCAAACTGAACACCATCCAACCCAGGCCTCTAACAGTCATCTTCTCCTCGAAACAGGTGCTGATGGAAGCTTACAACACCTTCCCTTACCTCCTCCTCTGAGGATAACAATACATCGTTAACCCGAATGTTCCCAATCTGATTCACCTAACGATGAGCATTCGCCATACGGTGAGAAAAATTGGTATTCCGATCCCCATCTTTCAACCACAAACATCGCGACCTCTGGCGATAACTAACCTCCTCCATATGAGCCACCTGGCCAAATTGTTTTCACACCCCCTCACAGGCCGCCAAGTCCTCAGCAGACAAGTTCCTTTCAACATCCTTATCATACCATCCCTGCAATGCCGTCAAAATATTAGACTTCTGAGTTTCCAATTGACCAAACATCTCCCTATTCCACCGGCACAAGTCTTTAATTTCTGAGCCAACCTGTTACTTGGATCTCCCACCACATCATAACTTACCCACTACGACCAAACTATATCCACAAACCCTGCTGACTGCAATCACATATTTTCAAACCGAAATGGCACCGGACCACTTCGAATCCCACCACTATCCAACAGCACCGGCCAGTGATCTGAAATAGGATGCTCCAATCTTTGCTGAATCACACGAGGAAAATGCTCCTCCCAATTGCCAGAAATCAGAAAGCGATCCAGACGCAAAAACACCCGGCCTCCAGACCAAGTGAAGCTACTCCCCTACATCGGCAAATCAATCAACTCCAAGTAGTCAATTAATAAGGAGAAATCCTGCATAGGACCCGCTATTGGACCCAAACCCAACTTCTCCTCCACACAACGCACCACATTGAAATCTCCCTTACACACCACAGCGCTGCCCATCGAAAAGCAATACTTCGTAATTCTTTCCAAAAGAAAGCCCGGCCTGACCCCCTCACCAGCCCATACACGCTTGTAAACATCCATCGGAAGTCATCCCCAATATAGCGAAAAAGACAAGACAACGAGAAACCACCCATCTCCTCCTCCTCCTCTTTGTCAACCACCTGCTGATCCCAGCATACTAGAATTCCCCCAGCCACCCCAACAGCTGGCAAGAATGTCCAATCCACAAACCGCCCCCCTTCCCCCAACCTCCCTAACCACCTCTCCATCAATATGCTCCATTTTAGTCTCCTGAAAACAAACGACATCTGCTTTCACCATCCGTAACACTGCCCTAACCATCATCCTTTTTCCCCTATCATTTAGTCCACGCACATTTCAAGATAAGATTTTTAACCGCATGGCAACAATGAATGAGTAACACGGTCCTTCCTAACGACCCGACCACCTTCTTGTGCCCGCCGATCATAATTGATAGTGCACTGTAAGTTCCGTAACTCTCCAGCACCCTTGGTCTTTTGCCCAACAACCTGTAACTGCTTCCCCACAGGAGCAGTCCCCCTTCATGAAGCTTTAATGGCCGAAAACAGCCTCATAGCTTCATCTTCATGGCCAACAAAGGAGACCCCAAGTAGAGAACTTACCTCCTTAATCTGCGATAACACCAATTAGACACCTCTCTCGGACCAAGAGGCTCATCGCCAGCAAACCCAGCTGCCATGGGTTCCGTATCAGTAGCCGGCGCACCGACCTCAGATTTCCTAACCTCCATCGCCAATGGGTGCAAAACCAGAGGAAAATTTTCATCCTCCTTAGCCCAACGACCTATTGGACCAACAGAGTCCATCCTAATTTCAGAATCAACCATGTACCCCGACCACTCTCCCTCCTGATCACAAATATCAGGCCAATAAACCATCAACTGAGAAAGAACCGGAGGAGACCTTGCCTCGTCCCTACTCGCTGTCGGACTGGCCACGGATTGGACCAGCGCGCTCCCCCGTCGGCAAATGGAGCGCCTCTGACTGCCGTTGGTCCTCCACTGCCAACGAAGACCCCTTAATGGATCGCGAACCCACACTCCGATGTAACCTCTCAAAGATCCGCTCCACATAAGGATCCTCTGTATGACCTGTAGGCTATATCAGTGGCCCATTAGAAAGAAGGTCCAACCCACCCCCAAACTCATGGGCCAAATAAAACTCTCCCAAATCACAGAGTCCATCCTAATTTCAGAATCAACCACGCACCCCGACCACTCTCCCTCCTGATCACAAATAGCAGGCCAATAAACCATCAACTGAGAAAGAACCGGAGGAGACCTTGCCTTGTCCCTACTCGCTGTCGGACTGGCCACGGATTGGACCAGCGCGCTCCCCCGTCGGCAAATGGAGCGCCTCTGACTGCCGTTGGTCCTCCACTGCCAACGAAGACCCCTTAATGGATCGCGAACCCACACTCCGATGTAACCTCTCAAAGATCCGCTCCACATAAGGATCCTCTGTATGACCTGTAGGCTATATCAGTGGCCCATTAGAAAGAAGGTCCAACCCACCCCCAAACTCATGGGCCAAATAAAACTCTCCCAAATCACCTCCCAGGCCTCCTTTAGTCATACCCAGAGGCCCAACTACCTTAGTCTCGCCATCTCTGTGAGCCTAAATAATTTGGCCCACCTCTTGCTGGGTTATTGGGCCTCCAAACCTGCCTAAGACCTCTGCCCTTTAAGTCAGGCCTTCGTTGACGATTGACCCTTCCGGTCCCAAATCTTGGAAAGTTAGGTGGAAATCTCCTCCGATCCCCAAATCTCTGAGTCTGATCTGCTCCCCGAAATCCTCGTCACACCTGCCGTTCATGATTCACGCCTACCTTAGCCGACCAAATCTCACCCGAAGAACCTCCCGCCGTCGAAGCATCCACCACCACCGGTCCAGTTTCCGACCAAATTGGAAGCTTGTAACGCTGTGAACCCCATCGGATTAAAATCCGCGACGGAATCCCTCTAACCAGGCCACGAACCTTCATCTGAACACACCCTAACAGGTCTAACGACTCATCCATCGTCACAAAACCATCACATCTATCTCCGATTTGTCGATACACCCCAATGCTACGAAGATGAATCGGAAGTCCCAATATCTGTATCCAGTTGCTGCGAACCAAAGCAGGTTTCCTACCATCAATACAAAGCGAATCCGGTGACCACCAACTGAGAGTCAGATCTTGACCAGTAATCGTCCACTGCCGACGCATCACACTATCCGCCTCACGCTGCGATCGAAAGACAAATAGGTAAAATTAACCTCTGATTCCATGAACCTCCACTTACCCCGACGACTTCCACCATCGATGTGCCTAGGCGGCAACCACCACCGTGTCCAACCCTTTAGCCCTCCATACCCCCACCCTCTCCACCACTGCTCGATCCAACTTTTGAAACCACTCCCCTTAAGTTCCTGCCTGAACCACCACATCCCCCTCATTCCCATCTCGAAGTACTGCCTCACTCATCAGTGGTAACCCACGTGATACAGCCACCCGCTGTGGACACTTGTTTCTGCTAACCCAGCCATCCCTAAAGGCAAAACCCTCCATAACCAAAGCAAATCCCTCCCAGCCACCACCAAAATCAGATTTCGGCACAAAAATTTGTTCCCGTCTACCACTCGTCGTAGCCACGATCTGTACCGAAGAGCGGCCATCCTCCTCTCCTCGAATCCACACAGCCACACTCCGACACCCCCCCGATCAAAGCCCCAAGTACGCCAGTCGCCCTGGTTCCCGTGAGGCCCTCCAGAATTTCTGACAACACCAGCGTACCTTATAACTGCAAAGAACAAGAGCTTTGCAAAGGACTTGCTTGCGTTCCACAATCGCCAATCGCCAATCGCCACCACCCAATCTGATCTTTCCCTTCTTCCTCAAGCTCAAAAGTACGACCTCCGAGGAAGAGAGTCCTCCGACGAGGTGCGTCCCTACCCCCAGTCACCATTTCAGTCCTATTATATTGAATTTTTACTCATCCATTTCAGACTCAAAAATTACTGATGGTCGGGTCTCTCAATATTCTATTGAAAATGAAACCCATAATTTTCTTATCCTCCACATTAATTCAATATCTAAAAAATAAATATTAAGATATGTTAAATGCGAGAACACTTTTATAATGCATATATTTATATTTAAGGTACATGTATACTCTCAAAAATATATTAGTTAAATTGCTTTTATATTAATTGTTTGTAAAAAATAATAATTATACATGTTTTGACCAAAAAATGAAATATGTTATTAAATAGTAAATGTTTATTTAATAATCACAAGTTGGTACCATGGTGCAATGGTTGTTGCTTCACATCTCTGACAATCGATCACGAGTTCGAGTCTTGCCTCAAGTTCTTGTCTCCTTTCTTTACGTTTTGAAGTCAACTGACTTCTGGTTGGAGTGAGCAACCAGTTTGACCGCAGTTCTCAGTGATTTTTCGAAAAAGAGTTCGAGTCTTGGCGCCTCAAGTTCTTGTCTTCTTTCTTTAATTTTTTGAGTCAACCAACTTTCAGTTGGAGCGGGCAACCAGTTTGACTGCGGTTCTCAATGAGTTTTTGAAAATAGGTCGGTTTTCTTCTCTGAACAGGTATGGAAGTTTATTCGGACCAGTTGACGAGTTAACCGATCTGATTGGCCGGTTCGGTCCGGTTTTCATCATAACATTGATAAGCACAAATCATGGGATCTCCATATATTCTAATATCTTCCATATCTTTTGATATCTTTAATAATATAATTTTATCTCCAACACTCCCCCTCAAATTGGAACACAGAACGGTTGAAGTGAAGTATCCAACTTGAACTCAAAAATAGGATGGTCATTACAAACAACTACAATGAAGTTTCCAAAAGACAACAACAATTGTAATAATTCCCTTCAATGACAATTTTAATGAACATAGCTAAGGAATCAACATCTTGCAATAGAGAAACGTGTATTGAATCAATCATGATGGTAGTAAGAGAAACCAACCGAGAAAGAGAAAGCAACTAGGCAAAGCAACGGCAAATCACCACAAACAAAAGGACCAAAAAAACAGCATCCCACAAAGAATACTACCGAGCACATGGGTAGCCCAAAATAAAAAATAAAAAATCAAATTTGTGCTTACCACATCTGCATAGGGACCGTAAAAGGGTAGAGAAGTAGCCGAAAAACTCAGCGTATCACAGAATAATGCTACTGTACACACCGATAGTCCCAAAATAAGTAAAAATTATAAAGTTTGCTTACCACATCAGCAAACTAGTGATCAAATCAAGAAAGAAGGAAAAACACCTTGATAACAAAAAATGTGGAGTGAGAGAGCACTCTATAGAGAAACATGGCTAGGGTTTAGTAGGCTTTGATACCAAGTTGAATTTTGTAACAAGGCAATAAGATTGAATATGGAGAGATAATAGATACAGAAAAAAGAAAAGAAATAATACAAAGGTTTAACGTGATTCTGCCAATATTTGGCCTAAATCCACACACACAAAGTCGTATGGGTTTTATCTTTCATTCACTTAACTTTATACTCTTGTTTACATGATACACCATATATATAAAGTAGAAGATAAATCAAATCCTTTTAGTTAAGGAATTGAAATAAATAATGAGATCTCCATATATTCTAATAACTTTTGATGTATTTGACAATATAATCTTATCTCCAACAACAAACACATCGATACAATGATATATATATATATATATATTTAAAATGCAAGACACGATACGCCTGTGACATGTTAAAAATTTGTATTTTTTTAAATTTATGATATGTCTAATATATGAATAGTTTATTGAAAGGTAATAAAAAAAAATAATATAACACTAATTATAAAAAAATAAAAAAATTCATGTATGCCATAACTTAAACATCAAGATATTATTTACGTAACAATTGCATCTTTAATTACCTAAAAAACAATTGTAGAATATTAACATACAAATGTTTCAAAACATATTTAGAGTGCACAAGTGGCATTTTGAAGAATGCTAAACATTGTTAGTATGAGTATTCATCAAATAGGCCATGTTCAAAGTGTTGCCGAAGCATCTGTAAAGTGTGTAATATCATGAATTTAAAATTTTAATTAAACGCGTTGAAGAAGTGTCCCAACACGCTTTTAGGAATGTCTACAGAGTATCTTGTCCGACACAATACACTTTCTCTATAGAAGTGTTTGTGCTTCTTAGTTGCTGAACAAACATTTTTTTTTTCTTTTTCTCTGAAGGTACTAGGAGCATTGAAAAGCTATGGAATTGAAAATATTGCGGAGATGCATTTGCCAGATGATCCCCGAAAAGGAGGAAAGATCAAAGGTTTTGCTCTTTTGGAGTTCAGCACCCACTCGGATGCAATGGAAGCAATTCAACGACTAAGAAAGCCAGATGTTGTCTTTGGCCGTGATATAAGTGCTAAGGTTGCATTTGCACAAACCCCATTGCGTCCCAATCAAGATGTTTTGTCTGAGGTTAGAGATCTAATCCTACTCTTGCTTACTGAAATTCATAATTTGATAAAATATAGTGCTAGCAAAAATTTACTATGATTCTTAATGATGAATCGCATGAAACTTTCTCATGTGCATCTGCACTTGAAACTTGGTTGTATTTAGTGTCATTATGAAAAGTTAATTCATCTCTTTAACTGTTAATCCATATTAATCTAGTAAAAGTGGTTTTGTTGGTATTGTATGGCAATCAATGGTCACCCTTGCCATAACTATTTTTTGTTTTATTTTTATTTTTATCTTTTTTGAAACACAATTCTTTGGGGAACACAACGTGGTTGCACATTTCCACCTGGAAAGCGAGAAAATGGTTTTTATGGTAAATAATTGTTCTTAAACCTATTCAATAATATTGTTCGAAAAAGGTCCTATTTTTTTGTCACTTATATTAATATTTTATGTAAGGGACTACTAATGTCTTGTAGAATAAGGTGACCCTGGTCATTTTCAATGGATAACCTGTATGGGTGAAGGTGGGTTGCGGCCCCCGTAGGTTTGAGATTTCTTCTTTGAGTAGCCTCTTTGAAACTGAGGCTTCTATTATATAACCAGTGTTACATGGACTCTTCTATTCCCCTCCATGAACCCGTGTGTCCACTGTATGTAACAAGGGTAAGGGTACAGGGTGAGTGTCCAACCCCCATACCCAAATTAAACACTAAGATCCTCTAAGTTTTGTGACGTTTAACAAAGAATAGACTTGCATTCCAACCCCATACCTAAATTAAACACTAAGATCCTTAATAACTTCAATATCGTCTTTTATAATATTAGATAATATGCAATATAGTTAATCCTTACGTAATTATTGGATACATATCTCTATATTTTAAGATTTAGAATTTAAAGAGGCTAGAATTTTTTATACATCTTGCCCTCGTCCCAATATCCCCACTTTAGTGGCAACCTCGTGTACTGAGTGGGTGTTTGGGAGTAGCTTTCTTTAGTGACTTTTTAGCTTTTTAGTAAATAAAAAAGTTAATATGTTTGGGAGTAGCTTTTTTAGTTGTATGGAAAAATGTGAATGGCTTATGTCATACTTTTATTTTTGCTTGAATTTCCCATTTTACCCTTCCAAAGGTGTACACACATTAGCCTTTTCAAACTAGTACAAAGATTCTCCAGATTTTTTTGGTCCATGCCAAAAACAGGGCGAGTCACTCCCTTTTAGATAAAATGAAGTACAAATAGATGAACACTGGAAAGATATGCAATTGGAAAAGACTCTTAACTGAAAACCTCCATAAAACAAAGCTCTAATACCATGTTAGACAACCACTTGCGGGAAAACTTAAGCTAGTAGGATATTTGCTATGCAATGCAAATCAAGTTTTCATGGATATTTTGTGAAGATGTCTGCAAGGTCATACTATGCATGAACTGTATATTAGTTAATAAAAAAATTATGGTAAATTACAAATACACTCCTTGAGATTTGCTTAAAATATAGATTGTCCCATGTGGTTTTGGAAATTACATTCTGCCCCTTCAAGCTTCTAATCTCATAACAAATGACCCATTTTATGAAGCTTTTTAGTAAATAAAAAAGTTAATATGTTTGGGAGTAGCTTTTTTAGTTGTATGGAAAAATGTGAATGGCTTATGTCATACTTTTATTTTTGCTTGAATTTCCCATTTTACCCTTCCAAAGGTGTACACACATTAGCCTTTTCAAACTAGTACAAAGATTCTCCAGTTTTTTTTGGTCCATGCCAAAAACAGGGCGAGTCACTCCCTTTTAGATAAAATGAAGTACAAATGGATGAACACTGGAAAGATATGCAATTGGAAAAGACTCTTAACTGAAAACCTCCATAAAACAAAGCTCTAATACCCTGTTAGACAACCACTTGCGGCAAAACTTAAGCTAGTAGGATATTTGCTACGCAATGCAAATCAAGTTTTCATGGATATTTTGTGAAGATGTCTGCAAGGTCATACTACGCATGAACTGTATATTAGTTAATAAAAAAATTAGGGTAAATTACAAATACGCTCCTTGAGATTTGCTTAAAATATAGATTGTCCCATGTGGCTTTGCAAATTACATTATGCCCCTTCAAGCTTCTAATCTCATAACAAATGACCCCTTTTATTAATAAATCATCAAGTCAATTATAGTTTTTAAAATATCATAAATACATTTCAATTAACAATTCAGGCAATTTTTATTGTTGTATAAGAAAGTAGTTAGGAATGTCATTTTTCTGTTAATTCTGTTAGATAAAAAATTATGATAAGGGGATATTTGTAATTTCTAGAACCCAAAAAATTATTATTTAAGGATCAAGTGTGCTATTTAATGTTCTGTCTTGTGACACGTGATTTGATAGTTTGCTGGAAGTCATTATGAATGACTTTATACTTCCACAAGATGATTAAGCTTTTGGATCCAGCTCTATTTGTGCATCTAAGTTCAGTTTAAGGGGCTTAAACAAAAAATTGTCGAGATAGTTAAGCTTTTGGATCCACTTCTATTTGTGCATACTTCTATTTGTGCATCTAAGTTCAGTTTAAGGGGCTTAGACAAAATTTGTGCAAAGTCAAGCCTGTATGTCTGAAGTATTGGAAAAAACTGTGATTCACTAATAAATGCATGTCAGTTTCTGCCACCATAATAGATGCATTCTGTACTTTCTAAACAGATCATTGCATATACCATATGGTTCTTGAAGTTGCTTGATTTCATCATTGGTGCATATAAATGACGCATTTACATTTTTCTGTTGTAGCTTAAAACAGTCTATTTGGAAGGCCTAACTGATGATTGGAATAAAGGGAAAGTAAATGAACTTTGTAAACAGTACGGTGAGCTTGTGGAAATTAAGTTATCTCGGAATATAGGCACCAAAAGCAAAGATTTTGGGTTTATTACCTTCACTTCTCAAGAAGGTGCTCTGGCTTGTGTGGAGGGGATCAATAATGCTCATATTGGAGAAGAAGTCAAGGTGGTAAAAGTTTATTTTTATTCTCGTCATTTTTCTATAATTTGCTTTGGGAAACAGTATTCTTACCTGTAATAACCGTTTCAGGTTAAAGCCAGCATTGCAAAGCCTCATTCAAAGGGTCAGCTTCAAAAGCAAGATACTCATGGGAGCTTCAAAGTGAAGGAAAAGGGAATGGCCCCATCAACAAAAGAAGAGAGTGAAAGAGAAAACAAAGCTGGATCTTCAAAGATGAAAGGACATGCAAAGTCTAAACAGTCAAAAAGAAAGGGAAAGACAGTGGCTGAAGATAAGGGGAAGACTATTTCTGAGTCAGAAATTGGTGGAGGAGGTAAGCCAAAGAAATCCCGAACTGTCACTGAAGATCAACCCAAGTTGGAAAGGAAAAATCGCAAGAGAAAGAATCTACATTTAAATGCCGAGGGTCGTGGAAAGATAGGAGCTGAACATGGTCATAATAAAAGGCCATCAAAGAAACCACAAGGTATGTTATTACCTGCTGAGGCTTAGATTAGTTACCAATTCAAATGGGACAGAACTTCTTAAACATACAAATCTCAAAGAAACAAAAGAAAACCAACTCAAACTTATTTTAGTACTTTCTATTTACACAATATTTATTTATACTTAACAAAGACAATTTGTAGTTGACATCAATCTCTAATATTTATTTATATTTTAACACACATTACCATGCAGTAGAAAAAATAGTTGTTATTTATCACAAAAAAAAAAAAAAAGAAGTTGAAAAAATAGTTGTTAGAATATATTTATATATTTACTATACAAAGCATAGATAGACACGCTCTCGTAGGCACTCCCAACCTTGTAAACTTCTATATGCCCTCGCTTTCTTGTCCCCACTCCTGCTCCCGTCCCTGCCCTCACTTTGTGAAACTAAGATTTAACTTCTTCTGTACTAGGTTCTGTTGAATGAGTTTTTTCTTTCTAAATTTGTAGGCAGCAAGGAAAAGGAAAGCAAAAATTTCAGGAAGCCAAAGAGAGATCCTTACATTAGAAAAGGTCCAGATTATGGTGCAGATTTCGCCAGGCATAGAAATTCAGATGCACCGGGACCTGCTGTTAGTTACCAGAGTCATGCCTATAACACTGTGTATGGATATAAAAGGCCCCATGCAGATATGGTACATTGCATTCTTTTTCACTCATCAGTCTTGCAATTATTATTTTTGGTCCAATTGTCTAAAATGGTGCTTTCCAGGAGCCACATGCTGGATATATTGAGCCCGTTGCTCAAAAGCGAGGCCGAACTTATTCAGAGTACACTGAACCTCCTGTTAGAATGCAGTATAAACCTCATGTGGAATACCTTGAACATTCTGTTGGGACACAAAGCCGACCTCATAGAGGATACCATGAACCTCCTGTTGGAACACATGGCAGGCCTCATGGAGGATTCCGTGAACCTGCTCTTGGATTACACAGTCAACCTCACGCTGGATACCTTGAACCTGCTGTTCGAAGACAAGGTCAATCTCATGCAGGATATTTTGAATCTGCTGCTGGAAAACATGGTCACAATCCATATGCCCTTGCATTGAGAAGGTTTTTTTGTTATACATTTTCATTTTCCAGTTTGAGTTGCAATTTTTGTTACTTCGATCGATAGACATAACAGTTGCCCTGTTGACAGAGCTGGTGAACAGGATGGCCATGGCAGTGGTCACTCTGCTTCTGTGGCAGGTAATACATTCAACACATATATCTGTCTATCATGTTTCTTGATGGCTGTCAAATTTTAATGAGGTTGGAACGGCTGGTAGTTGAGTAGATTTTTTTATCTTTCCAGGTAGCTTTTAAGTGTACCAGAAGGCTTCCGTGTGGCACCCCTGTAGTTTGGGACAAATTCACTTTGGTCTTTGTAGTTTCAATTGCGATGCATTAATTGCTTTCAATTAGGTTCAGCTGTCAAATCTGATTCGGGATAGATATGAGTTCCTAGTTTGTGTATATTATGAAATAAATTTTGGTCCAAATCAAATTTGTCTCCCAATGTTATAAATGTTCTAAAGTTAAATTTATGCTTTCGTGGTGCATGATACTTCTTAGTTTTTGTGCATTAGGTAAAATGATTGAATACATGGTAAAAATATGAAATTTATTTTTAATCAGAACTTGTTTTGTGCAATTATTAGATATTCAAGTTGAATTGTGTATATTATTCTTGTGTAATGCTAGTAATTTATTCTGATAATTTGTTGTTTATATTGTAGGATCTTCCCGTCTACCTCCTCCTGTTCCAAATTACACAAGCTATGCTGCATATGAGGTCTCTCTCTCTCTCTCTCTCTCTCTCTCTCACACACGCGCACACACATATTTTAGTTTATATATTTTATACGATACGATACAGCATATGTGCACACAGATATGACTATCTGTTGGGGGCATAAGAGCATCCTTGATTGAGGGCTATTTTTTTGGATTTGGGGCATTCTTTATCAGTATTTACAGCTTGAAAGTCACAGTTGGATGAAACAATTGTTAAGTGATGCGAGGCAGTTAATTTTTATTGAATCTTACTTTGCTTACATGTCTTGCCTAAAAACTGCACATCACGAAAGCTCTGACAATCCACATCCAGCTAGCTGGTACTCTTTGATCTCACATTTCTTCTCTTCTTCAAGACCAGTCGGTTGTAGTTGAAGGCTACTCTTTTAAGACAAACCTGTGTTCTATGTGCGCACCTTCCTCTAATCAACAATTGAATATTAATAATATCATCTGCTTGTGACGGCATGCAGGGTGGTAGCAGTGTTGGTAGTTACTATCAAGGCAGTAGAGTACATCTACCTGCTGGGAGGGCATACCACTGAGAAATTACTGGAATGAGAATGAAATAAAAGCACTTTAGGGTTTTTGGTGCTCGTTATCGAGGCAATGAAGCACACCTACCCCCAAAGCACATCTGTTTTGTAAAGATTAACTTGTTCATTTTTTTTAATCATCTCCTGGTTATAGATTGTTTTGGACCGACTGCATATACAATATTCAGTCAGGAGTTGGGCAGTTTTATGTTATTACTACAATTTGCAAGAGATTTGCTTATTTAGTAGTCCCTCACTTTTAAAACTAGTATCCTAATTCCGTATTTTGTCCGTGGTTGCGTGGAGTGTATACGCAGCACTCCTTAAATTAAAATACTTAATAGCATGGTAATACATTTATACAAAACTTCTAACTTCAGCACACGCAATGGAACCGTCGACAATCAAGTGAAATTTAATCTACGAAATGATTTATCTATGGACAGATGTTGTAATGCGAGGGGAATTATTACCGCAAGGCAGAGGGGAGGTCATAGGCAAATATCATAAAATCAATTTTTGACAGAATGTGAACTATATATATATTGGTTTTTGACAGGAAAATAAATTTTTTTAAAAAAAGCATATATAAAATCATAACCGTAGAATACGACCCTAAGGCTAAGGTATTGTCTCTACAGCTGACCCCACATGAATGGGCCTACTCTGGTTATTGGGACACTGCCTAAGAAGCATACGAGTTTTGCTCTTTCTTCTGTTTTTTTAAATTTTTTTCGAAGCCTCTAGATTGATTTTGTGCTCTTTTTTGTGGCGTTTGTTGCATTTTTTGCTGGTCCTTTCTTTTTTAGATGATAAATAGCAAAACCGTCGATTGGAGCGTGTAGCAGCGCAACCTAGTTCTACTTAACTAAGCCTTGTGCTTGTCTAAAAAGGGAGTTTGCTTTACCCAAACAGAATTCAAACCCAAAAATATACCAGAAGGCGCCATTTATTTTCAGAAATAGGATGGATGAGATTATTAGTGAGGAGATTAAATAAAATTATTTTTGTTTGATGATAATTGTTAATGTGAAAATTGTTAAATTATTTTTATATAAAATAATGAGAGATCACATTTTTTCAAAACAGGGTTTCTTCACTTTTTTGAGCAGAAAAAGACTACTAATTTGTAGAAGAAGAAACATCCAGGTGAGCCAAACAACTCAAGGCCTGGGGTTGCAAAGCAACCCAATTTATAGGTAACTGTGACAAAGCGCATGCATGTGCAGCCCAATGTACTACTTTGTCAGAGGTGCGCCTGGTCCAACAAAAAAATAGGGGCCAAGCCTGGGAAATACATCTAATGTTAGAGAAGACTGCCAAGTTGTCCCAAGGGGGCACCTATTCAGAAACTCAGAGCTTGATAGCTAGCAAATTGTCACTCTCAACGACTACATTCCTCCAATGTTGCTGTTTTGCCATGAGGCAAGCCAACCGAATTGCTTGGGCCTCAGCTTGGAAGGGGGAGGTAGTATGGGTCTTGAGAGTGTGTCCATCAATAATTTGCCGTCTTGAGTCACAAAAGACAACGGCTAAGGAGGCTTGGTTGGATTGTTTGCAGAAAGCCGCATCACAATTTGCTTTTAGAGAGCCAGGAGGAAGAGGTTGCCGACTATTTGGCCTCACCTGTGGAGAAGGAGAGCCATTTTGCACATGTACTGGGCTCTACTGAAGCTGGACAAGTTCCTTCCAAGCAAGGGCTGCACGAGCTACAGTTTCCACTGGATTAACTGGAATATGAGTAAAGATGAACGCATTTCTGGTTTTCCAGATTTGCCAAGCAATCATGATTAGCTGACTTAAAAAAAGGCGCCAACTGGGTGAGGAAGCAAGTAAAGCTAACTGTTGACTCAACCAAACTGTTAGATTGCTTACCATACCCCTTACGATGCGCAAGTTTAGTTGGCTTCCGAACCACACCGATTGGGTCCAAGGGCAATCAAAAAACAAGTGCTCTACTATTTCTAAATCTAGAAGACAGATTGGGCACATCCCAGAGGCAGAGCATTTGCGCTTGAGGAGGTTGGCCTTGGTAGCTAAAAAATTGTTGCAAGCTTTCCACCAAAAATGCTTAAGCTTGGGAGGTACATCAAGATGCCAAATCTGTTTCCAAAAATTGTGTGGGAGCTGGAAGGAAGTTGAAGGACAATTCTGTTGTTGCTGGTCCTATAATGCACGAGCCAGAGCATACCCCGATTTTACTTAAAAAATACCATATTTGGATGGGTGCCATACCACCACGTCTTGTTTATTTTCCATGGAGATAGGGATAAGACTAATAACCTGGATTTCCTCTGGGGTAATAAACTGTTGCAGAACCTCCATCTTCCAACACATGCATGCTGGATCAATAGCATCTGCCACAACATGGATAGGGGTATGGAGTGGTTTGATAGTTGATATCTGGAAGCAAGGGACCGACGGAATCCACTTATCCTCCCAAAAGTTGACAGATTGCCCATTATGAATTTATCATCTGGTGCCCCTTTGAAGCAATTCTCTGCCTTTTAATAAGCTTGTCCATGCCCATGATGGCTGAGTGCCTCTAGTGGCTGTCATGAAGTTTGATTGAGGAAAATATAAGCCTTTGAAAATTCTGGCCCAATAGGAAGAAGGGTTCTGAAGCAGTCGCCATCCTTAGCGGGCCAACATGGCTTGATTGAAAGCCTTAAAGTCTCGAAAACCCATACCCCCAGCAGCTTTGGAGGTTGTCAGGGAGTCCCAACGAGCCCAGTGAATGCCTCTACTCTCTGGGTCTTCTTTCCACCAAAAGTTCCGAATGTAGGCATTCAGCTTGTTACAGAAGCGTTAAGGGAAAGAGAAACAAGCTATGGTGTAAGAAGGGGTGGCTTGTGCCACTACCTTAATCAAAGTTTCACGCCCGGCAGGGGAGAGAAGCTTGCTCTTCTAGCCTTGCAATTTGGATAGCACCCTCTTAATAAAAAACCCAAACACAACAGTCTTGGATCTGCCCTAGAGAGAAGGCAAACCTAGGTATTTTGCATTCGGGTCCGCCTCAAAGATCCCCAAAGTCGAACAAAGAGCCCCCCTCACAGCCATGCTAGCATTTGCCAAGAAAATGATACCGGATTTATCAAAATTCAGGACTTGTCTCGATGCCTTACTGTAGAGTCGCAAAATGGCCAGTAAAGCTTGGCATTCCCTTTGCTCGCCCTGAAGAAAAAGAATAGCATCATCAGCAAAGAATAGGTGCGATAAGATGGGACAAGTTCCCGCCATCCGAAGGCTCGAGATATCTCTCCGATAGAGGCTCCGAAGCAATAATTTAGATAAAACATCAACCATAAGAAGAAAGAGCTATGGGGAGATAGGGTTGCCTTGGCGGAGGCCACAAGAAGGAGAGACTGACGCATGCTTTGCCCCGTTCGCAAAAATGGAGAATTGAACTGTAGTGACACATTGCATGACCCACTGAATCCATCGCCAGTCAAACCCCATTTTATGAAGGACTGTTTCCAGGAAATCCCACTGGATTCAATCATATGCCTTGTTAAAGTCAAGTTTCAAAGCAATATCCACTCTTCTCCCTTCCCTCTTGTGCTTGAGGAAGTGGAAAGCTTCGTGAGCCACTAAAATTATAGCGATTCCGGTTTTCCCTCCATTGGTTGTTGTATTCCGGACTTGGTTCCGTGGATGTCGGTTGTTGCATATGTTTCATTTTCGTCCTTTAATTCTTTGTATATGAGTTTTAGGATGTGTTGGGTAGGTTTGTAACAGGTTGGTTGGGATTAGAAACAAAGTGTTGTTGCCCAGATTTTGGTGTCTTCGCTCGAGCAAGGCTTTTGTCGCTCGAGCGAGCTCTGTGTTTTAGTTCCTTCGCTCGAGCCAGGGTTACTTCGCTCGAGCGAGAGTTGAGTGGTGTGTCTTTTGGCTCGAGCGAGAAGTCTTGCGCTCGAGCTTGCGTCTGCGTCTAGTTTTGGACCTGAAGGTTGCACTTTTTGGCTCGAGCGAGCGAGGACTATGTTTTGGGTTTCTTCGCTCGAGCGAGCATTCTTGCGCTCCAGCGTGCTTCTGGGTTGCAGACCTGAAGCTTCGTGTTGTTGGCTCGAGCGAGGCTTTTTGCGCTCGAGCGAGGTTTCTTTGTGTCTGGTAGCTCGAGCGACCACTCTTTCGCTCGAGCGAGCCTCGAAAACATCAGTTCGCAGCAACAGTCTCCTTCATCACTTTTTGATCCACTTTACATCTCAAACCCTAGATCCGGCTCCCTCTCTCTCTACACATACCTTCTCTCTACAAATACTCCATGTTTTAGGAGTCTCTTACCCTAATCCCTTTGTAAGAAAGGTGGAGCTTGGTGTGGGCTACGTTTTAATCTGAAAATTATTGAGTTTGGAGCATCTTGAGTTTTCATCATCTTCTCCATTTGGTCTCTTCATTTGAGGTAGGGATACCCTACTCATTCTTATGGGTTTTGACATAAATTTTAGTCATTTTGATTAGTTGGTGGATTATGGTAATTTTGGAAAAGTTAGGGTTTGTTTTAAAGTTATAAAAAGGGATTTTAAATTGTTAAACTCAATGTGTAAATGCGACCTTGGAAAATGGAATTATTGTTGTTAAATTGATGAAATTGAACCTTAGGGTTGATATTTGAAAAAGGAGGGAGAACACCCTAATTATATTGAATAATTAATTTGAAAAATTAATTTGGGGAAATATGGAATTGAGTTAGAAATCATGAAATTGGAAATTTATGAGATTGAATGGTGTAGTCGGATTGATTAATCACTCACCTATGACAATGTTGATATTTTATCTGTTTGATAAATTTATTATCTGTTTAGAGATAACTGCTTTGGGCTATCGGTAGAGGATAGTCTTGATTGTTGTAGACATTGTATGTTGATTAGGGAAAACTGAAACTAATTACATTGAATATGTCATTGAACATGACGATTGGAATAATACATCGAATATGTGTATTGATTGATCATTGTATATGATAAGTGTTTAAATACATTATATATGTATATTGTGTGGGAGGAGATAGGAGATGTACTCCATGGTTTGAGAGGAGATAGAGGATGCACTCTCAAACCTGTTTGGGAGGAGATAGGAGATGGACTTCATTGATAACTAAGTTGGCCGGAGTGTCCAAGGTGAAAGTCCCAAAATCCAAATTGCGTTTGCATAACGTAGATAATTGAAATATTGAAGTGTTATTATATGAGTTGTTGTCTCATTAGAATTGTGGAAAAATGGAGGTGCTTTAATATGAGTTGTAGGCTCATTTAATTGCTGGTTAGATAA